TTTTTAGCCACGACCGAGGCGATCACAATCAACACTAACACATTACACCATTGATCCAATCAAATATTCAACGGGACCCGTGTCACATGAGCACATATATGGTGGTAACCCGTTGAGATAGGGCAGTCGTCATGTGGTTAAAAAAAATCAAAAACATGAATGGCGTCTATGCCGGTTTATTAGAAATCCTACCGTGGAACTGGCGATTTCTTTTCAAATTTAGAGTGGAGTGAACAAAACGATTTCCGTATCTATGTCATATAGTTTCGAGCAGTTGCTGGAATTTGTTGAACTGCCTGCTCACCTACTCACGTTCTCACGTACAACCGGACAAGCTTTCTGTTCTTGACTTATTTCTTCAAAATGATTCTCAAGTAAAAACACTGTTAAAATTAGCAACTTCTCGCATACCCTTACGGGATAAAGTGTCCTAACCATTGTTTCGTTCAAACACGTCCAGTTCGCATACCACATATCACACTAACCGCAGCTTTGAATTACGGTCTCATAAATTTTACATATTATTATTCCTATCATACACACTCCTCACAGCTCACAGAATATAGTCGGAGATTAACTTGAAAACTGTACAAATCATACATTCGGATATGTAATGGGACGACTCAGTAGTTTCCAGGAACGATTGTCATTATTTTATTTATTTCCAACGGCTAGTATCACATGCAGACGGTGCTCTCAAAGAGCAATGCAAACAGTGATATATAATTAGATTTATTGGTTGATTATTAACGTTTTTGAATAAAATGTGTATGTGTGTGTTTTATTTGTGCTCGTCACCATCAGCTTTCGGTCAGATAGCTGTGCAAATGATCAGATAGATTTATCCCAATCAAATTCTAAAAGAACTAAATAATACTTGAAGGTTTGATGAATCGAAATGTGGAGGGTTCAGAAGGATTTAAAGGAACAGAAGACGGATGTGTGATTTGGACGTGTGACAGGAAGACATTCAAATTATGATGGGATTCGGGGTAGGGAGTAAATCATTATCTATCTATCTATCTATCTATCTATCTATCTATCCATCTATCTATCTATCTATCTGTCTATGTGTCTCTCCATAATTGTGCAACGGACACCCCTCCAATTGTTTTTTACTATTCATATTGTATTGAGAATCATTCACTTCTCTATCAGATTGTTTACAATGGATATATACATTTCTCAACAAGGCGTGTTCAATCGGACTGAATCGGAAAGTGTACTGTTCGTATGTTCAACCAGAATTGTCATGACCAAAGGTCAACATGATCGGGCCGTAGTCACCCGAAGTTAACGCACGTTCGGCTGCCCCAGTGATGAGTGTTGTGTACAACAGTGGTATATGACAAACAGAAAGAGGGTCTACCAGAAAGATTTACAAGGAGTTCGTGTGGGACCTTTGTTGCATAGGGACGGCGGGCAGATAGATCGGGGATGATAGACTAGCTGGCGTTATTAGGAACCTCATCACAAAAGAATATATGAAAAGTATCTAGATTTGATATTAAATGTTTGTGAGAATTAGAAAAACTAAGCTAATAATTACCGAACCGCGGTCAACAGTAATGAAATCCTTTTGAAGTAGGCTAGGGGGAGATCACAGGGAAATGCACTGGGTGAGCAAAAGAACAAATATTTCACAGTTTCACTCGAAAATATTCCAGATGACCCATCCGAAAGGATAATCGATATGGTTTATCAACACAGATTTGAACACTGGAGGACTGGCTAGTCTTGATTGCTCTCTGTGATGATTCCTAAGTAGTTCTTGGTGGATGTTCTGATTACGGGTTTTGAGGTGATAATTAAAAGATATTCAGATCACGAAAGCCTTAAAATATTATCAAAGTAAACCGGATCGGTCAGAAAATATTTGCATTTTTGATTCCTTGTCAGAAAATAATTTCATATCAGTTCAGTTTGAGACAGCCTAAAATGCAATCACATTATCTTTTGTTCGTTGAATTCTTTCGAAGGACTAGTCTTTCAACCACTAAAAAATATGCCGAGACAACCTGATGACTAGAACTTTCGAAGAAGAGGAAGAAGCTGATGAGGAAGGAAGAGCTGAGAGAAAGGAAGCTGAAGAACAGACGAGTAATGAACGACGGACGGATTCTGGGGAACTGTCTACTGAATTACTCAAATTTAACTAGGGAATAGGGAGTGTCCAAAGTGTATCTATTCTGTCCATAAAGGCTCATTGGAAACCTATAATGATATAAGTAGTGAGGCGAAGCGTTTGGATAGGCCACTAGATGAGGAGAAGGATTCAGGAATAGGAATAACGGGAAAGGCCTTCCGGAATGGGGTGATGAAAGTGCGTGTATAGATTTATGAACGACGAATGTGAAAATCTCTATGAGTGGACCGATGCCAAGTTTGAGTATATACAAGAACAAACCATTTTGGCTTGCTGCAGTCGGGACTTTTGTAGTCCCAAGAAGATGAATTACCTTCTCATGGGAAATTGGGTCCATAGTAGACAAGCAGTATGCGGAAAATCGTCTCCTCTTCTGTCATCACTTGCACCCTTGTCCCTTTTGTCTTCATCTTAGAGCTTTTAACACTGGGAGCACAGTCTCCCAGTGAATGCCATCGGAGGAAAAGGCAAACAGTGTTTGGCACCACTCGCATACGGGGATTTTAATGACCGGTATGCGCACCAGCAAATCCTTTGTTTTTATTTCAACCATAATTTCCATATACACATCACCGATGCTCATGTGCTAAACAAAGAGGAAACGTAATAAATGTCCAACGACGGAACATTCCAATAAAACTATTAACTCAATATGAGCAGAATTGATATTGGCCATCAATTTCGCGGCTGTCCGCGCCCATTAAACAAATCGCAATTATATAAACATCATATAAAGACATTCATCTAATTAAGTTGTTTCAAGCGGGAAGATATTTGGTAGTTCAGTCAGAATCAAAGTAATTTGGAGATGAGTGAATGAGAAGGAAGGATACTGATTTCAAAGAAACCAACCGATTTCATATGCGCAAACAGCTGATTGAGAGCAGGTGAAATAGATGGCCAACATCAATTCCACTCATATTTGTTTGATTCAAGTGGAAAGATGTTTTTGATATTTCAGATGGAACATTCTTCGTCACAAGTGTTTGTGCAAGAACAGTCTGACAACCGCAGCGCTTGCATTTCTTGCTCCAGTTAGGAAATCCAGGTCGAGTACACACTCTTAAGAGTAGGGTAACACAAGTAGGAAGGATTATCTTTTATTCGTAGAAATAAGTCTCTGACGTACGAATAGCACGCAAATCTGGTCAAAACCACGAAATGAATTCCAATGTAAAAGCGGACACAGTCGAAGGACGCAAAATTGTTTCATCGTTTTGTGTGATACGACCCCACCGTGTAATCCACGGTATTTCGACCTCTTGCGATGTGACGGACATCTAAGGGGTCTTCACTGATTTTCGTGAGTTCGTAAACCAGTCGTTCGACAATGGTTTCAGTGTACTGCTGTGCTTCCAATTTGAGGTGATGAGAATACAAGGCTATTCATCTCTAAAACTCGAAATGTCCTCCATTGCTTAACACTTGCAAAACTGGATCATTCATCTCGGTCAACAATCAAACAGTCACTTTGACCAGTCGCTGGATTACACACTCGTATTACCCGTCAGCCATTTTTCGTGTCGTTCAATGTGCTAAACAAGTCTCCTCATTGTGCCACATAGTGAATAAACCGGCACCTACACATTAAACCTCCGTATCCGATGAGGTCAAAAATAAGACTGCTGTAAGCTCCGTGGACCTTTTTTTAACGTGAATCTTATCTCGGTTTGATTACTGAATTGATTATTCGCAATCCCAGTTGAGTTGAGCAAAACGTAAGCACCTTATCGTACGGGGTACGTAAATGAATATCAATGTGTATCCCGTACAATAAGGTGCTTACGTTTTGCTCAACTTAACTAGAATTGCGAATAATCAAGTGAGTAATCAGACCGAGATAAGATTCACGTTAAAAAAGATCCACGGAGCTTACAGTTATCAAATGAGAGACCTACGAAACAACGTCATCAAACAGCGAATCACATACGCCCGATAGTGATGACACGAAAGCACCTAAAGGAATGTGTAGGAACAAATTCGTAGAAGCCACCACTGAAAGAGACATAGAGTTAACAAGACTGCGCATAACGCTTTTGGAGAAGGAACTAGAGTTGGAGAAACTGAAGCAGGGGTAGGACCTATTTACCTTCATGTCTGAATCATTTCGCTGTATAAGTCCAATGCTACACGTAGACCTACCCACGAAAGATATCCAAAAATTCCAAGGGGATCCCTCGAAACATTGGTCATTCATGCACTGTTTCTCGATCTCGGTGGGTTGCCTCCCAATGGTCGATGATGCAATGTTGGTCTATCTCATTCAGTTTTGTGAAGGACCAACAAAGGAAGCCATTAAAGATTTTGTGATGTTAGATGGTCAGGAGGGTTACCAAAGAGCCAAAGAACCATTGAAGAAGCGTTTCGGGCAAAACCACATGATTGCTCGTGCTGTCATAAACCGTACTACCGATGGAGCACCTATTACCATCAATGACAACTTGAGTCTGATGACGATGGCTCAACAGATGAGGATATGCGAGACCATACTAACGCAATTAAATGACGAGTCTGACATGACTGCTTTAAGGATGTTGAAGTATCCGACGATTACCAAGGGCTTTCAACTCAAATGGGCTAAAGTAGCCACAAATTTGACATCAGAACAAGGTGAACGCCGTTTCACCCACCTCTGTGCATTTATCGAACGTCAATCCGAAATAAAGAACTCAAACTTTGGTGTTCTGGTTACCAGTTATTCATCACCTAAGAAGCAAAGGAACTTAGGGTCCGAGACTGGTCGTAAATCAGAAGAGTGATGACGAACTACTAACTGTTTTTCCAAAGATATGGTGCTTCATATATGAACAAGCACATTATCTCGATCATTGCATCAAGTTCCCCCATTTATCTCCCGAAGAACGTCTTATTGTCGTGACTGAGAGAAGATTATGTCGTTTATGTTTAAAACCAAACCACAATAGTCAATCGTGTAGTTATCGCCGTCTATGTACTTCAGAGAATTGCGGAAAGGCCCATCACGTCCTACTGCATTTGTCGACGGAGCTCCCCCTTCTGCAAGAGGCTATTGTACACTATCAAATGAAGCAAGAAGAAGTGGAGGAAGGAAATGCCGTTGCGCTGTGCGTGATTCCAGTCAGAGTTCGATGTGGAAGCACAGTTATCTAAACCTTGGCGTTTTCGAACAACCGATCTCATAGCACACTGATAGAAGAAAGATTAGCGAAACTACTTGGAGCAATAGGGAAACGCACGTCCTTATCTATCAACACTGTTTTCGGGACCACTAAAAATTCGGAGTTTGAAACTTCATTTTCAGTCGAATCCTGTGACGGATCAAACATCATCCCGATAAAATGGGTTTGGACGATAAACCGACTTCCCAAAATGGAAAGAGTTCTGCCTACAACGGAAAACTGAAGTCAATTTTCCAATTTCCCCATGTCTTTAATATGCGAGTAGAACTGTTAATTGGTTCTGATGTTCCAGCGACCCACTGGGTATTAGAACAGCGCTTGGGAAAGATCGATGAGCCTTACGCGGTCAAAACGGCATAGGGATGGAGTTTAATGGGCCCAACTTCACGTTCGTCAGCAAAATGGTGTTATGTCTCGACACTGAGCGATTTAGAGAAACAAATATAACGTCCCTACGGTCGTGAAATCATGGAACCAAAGGAAAGCAGAGCCAAGGAAATGTCCTTAGACCACAAGATGACTTTATCAGTATA